CGTCACATTCCGGTGTCCGGTCATGTGCCTGTGCATCAAGATGTTCGCCTGGCGATGCGCTTCCCGTAAGTCGTCGCTGGTCTATCGAGCTCTGAGTGGCCAATTGTTCAACCAAGGCACGATTTGCTGACTGCAACTGACGATTCTTCCTTTCGAGACGCTCGACGAGCCCTTTTGGGTAGGAATGCTGCTTGGATTTATCCGAGTACACACAGCTGGTCTCTCCCTTGACGCAGGGTCCACAACTAGGATGGACTTTGTCGCATTTGGTTTTTCTTCGGTGGCATCGATCGCAGGCCTGCATGACTGGAGACTGGAGTGCAGAAATTGGTGTTTCGGCGCGATTTCTCGCTCCATCGGTGTCGGCTGCCGAAGGTGGATGTGCCCTTCTATGTACTGTATGATCCTGTCCGTCCTAGCAAACTTCTCCGCTTTGCTCCCATTCCCCTGGCCCCCCTGTAACCCCTCAGTCTCTCTCCGCATTGTTCTCCAGTGTGGAGGCCACGATGTGGGTGAAATGCTGGGGACTCCAGAAACTCTTGGAATCAAGTGCCTCGTCAGTGGCCAGTCAGGGCTAGTGATTGGATCCAAGACTGGGCACCTAGTCAATGGGGTAAAACATGGGCCTGGCCTAAACCAGAAATTGCTATAGCACAAACCGGTTCCTAGCTGTCACCGCCATCGGCGTCATCGGCCGGCAATCGGTTACCTTCCGAAGACGAGTCCATCGGCACACTGAGCGCCGACGGCCGTGTTCATTTCCAGATGTGAGTGTTTTCGCTCTTTGGTGACGCCTGCTGTCTATTGTCCTTGATCTCCATCGATCAAACAATTTCTGGTCACTGCCCACACTCGGTCATTCTAGCCTGCAAACACTTTATACGTCGACAAGTAGCGAATCTATCAGCATGGCCGTTTACAAGGAGAATGACCTTGAGGCGAGCAAGGAAGTTGGTCATCAATTTTCGTGAAATTGACACAATATGCTAACATTTCCAAAGGAAATATCAGATGTTTCTCTGAGTCCTGATTCAGCCAATGTTCAAGTGGACCCTGCTCTTGAGAAAGCTCTGGTGCGGAAGCAGGATCTGCGGATTGTTCCTCTCTCCGCGGGCATCTATCTACTATGTTATCTAGACAGGTCGAATATTGGAAACGCCAAGGTAGGCATCGACGAGCATCGACAACAACATGCGCATGGCTAAACCACGGTTCGCAGGTCCTCAACTCAAGCACTCACAATGACCTCCTCACCGAGACCAACATGACTGCATTCCAGTTCACCATTGCTCTCATGGTATTTCTGATCGCTTATGCGCTTTTTGAAGTGCCATCAAACTACTTCCTCAAGAAGATGAGACCGAGTCGCTGGATCTCGTTCCTCATGTTCTCCTGGGGAACGATCACTATGGGTCTGGGCGGCACGACGAACTATGCTTCTGTGACCGTCGTACGTTTTCTACTCGGTGTCTTCGAGGCCGGCCTCTTTCCGGGCTTGGTGTACTACTTGACCTTTTGGTACCGAACCAACGAGAGATCCATCCGTGTCGCAGCTATTCTCGCTTCCGCGACTCTGGCCGGAGCGTTTGGTGGTGCTATTGCCTACGGCGTGGGTCACATGAATCAAACGGCAGGCCTCTCGGGCTGGAGGTGGCTGTTCATCCTAGAAGGCATTCCTTCTATCCTTTCCTCTGTTCTCGTCTACTTGTTTCTTCCGGATTACCCCGAGACAGCCCGGTGGTTATCGTCAGAGGAAAAGGACCTGGCATCAGCTCGATTGGCTTTTGAGGGTTCACATGGCACTGGTAAATCGCTGACTTGGAGCGAAGCCAAAGAGACTATCTTTGAATGGAGACTGTGGGTTCACTATCTGGTAAGTACATGCTAACCTAGCATTGTTCACTACGAAGCTCCAAAGCTGATCGCATACTTCTTCCCACTAGATCTACTTTGGAATTTCCACTCCATTTTCGAGCTTATCGCTTTTCACGCCAACAATTACTGCCGGACTTGGGGTGAGCTCTAGTGCGCTGATTGATGAAGTTGAATGTTACTGACGGAATTCAGTTCGAAAATCTGCAAGCGCAGCTCATGACCGTGCCTCCGTATGCCGTCGCATATGTCGTTACCCTGGCAGCTTCATGGTCGGCCGATCATTTTAATGCGTAGGTACAATATCTGAGGATGGACATGTTCTGATGCTAACATTGTTGAAAGTCGCGGTCTTCATTCGGCTTTGTTCTCAACCATCGGCGCTGTAGGCTTCCTTGCCTCGGCCGTATTACCTCCAGATGCATACTCCGTAAGCTTTGATGCCGTTCGCTTGTTGACTGTATACACTGATTCTATATCACAGCAACGGTACGGATGCCTCATAGTTGCGGCATCTGGCGCCTTCGCGTGCATTCCACCGCTCCTGGGCTGGCTCTCGTCGAACCTCCACACCACGGCAGCAGTAGGCCTAGCGATTGCCCTGAATATCTCCATGGGTGCTCCGGGCCAGATTGTTGGTGTTTGGATTTATAAGTCAAACGAGGCGAACAGGGGCTATCCCACTGGTCATTGGGTCAACGCGGCTCTCCTGCTTTGTGTTGCCGTGTCTTGCGTCGGAATGCATTTTTACTATTACTTGCAGAACAGGAAAGCAGATGCGGGTGCTAGATTCAGGTACAAGTACTGAAGATCAAGATCGTATAACAATTAATATGCTGGATTGTCTTCGCCGAAAACGAGATGTGTCGAAGGTCTAATGGCCGGGTACGAATGGCGATCAAGCTGTTCGAGTCCTCACTGAGAACAATACTGAATAAGAGGGTCTATTTACGGATGACTACGCAATGTTGGTTGGGTTACCTAATCGATGGCCAAATTCAGAAGACTGCCCGTCTTTTGGAACATCTCGTTTCAGCCGCGGAAAGTTCTTTGGCGCTAGAGGATCCGATCAGAAGTGCATCGATAGACTTGTTGAGGAAAGCACAAAATCAATTGGATATGGGCACAATGTACTTGGATAACCTCTTTCTAGACCAAGATGAATATGTCTAGTGGCAGGCGAGAGCAAAATAAAGTAAAAATAAAATATATACTTACACCTTACCCTAGCACATCATCCGGTCGCTACGATTAATTTTGGGATAAAATTTATAAAATCAGAAGCAAGATTGGATCGAGAATAAGAACATTCAGTTTTTGTCCCATAGTTAAGATGATTTCGTATAGAGGTACGATGTTTGAGCGTACGCGGAATCTCCCTTTTTTTGTCACCCGCCTGAGTGGTCACAAGCTCAGTAGAATTCGTCGAAGAGAAGATTTTGGATTGGCAATTGATGCCATCAATTAAAATTTATCACTTTGTTCAAATCCATCAATAATGTGTCATCTTTGACAAATCCCCTGGCTGATTGCTTCCAGTACAAGAGAAAAGTCGTAAAATCCTGCCACATAATCCTCGACCGCCCTCTCGTGCGAAGATCGCAATTGCAAATAAAAGTTGCCCCCATAGATCGACTCTTCACTCAATGAACGGAGGTCCTCCATTGTCATACTTTGAATGACTTGCAGCATGAGTAGAGGTATACATCCATCCCTTTCGAATTGCGCCCTGACTTCTAGTGCCGGGCGCGAAGGACCAGAATGAAGAATAGTCGAGGCTATGGCTCCCAGCGCAAGCAGACCATTCTTCTTGGTCTCAAAGGCGCGTTGTGGCCCAACTTGATGAGCGATCCCTTCAATGGCAAGCTTGACATTCCTATAAGCTGTTCCCGGGAGTGCGTTTTCCTGCTGTCCAGGGTCAAGTATACGGGAAACCATGGCGGGATATTCCAAAATGCTCGACGGCGACTCTGTCCCGATGCATGAATCTTCCAGTGAAAGCGGGCCCGCTGGCTTTGAGACTGATATACTGCCAGACCCATCCGATGGCCTGGCGATGGGCAATGGCAACGTCTCGGGTTCTGATAGCGGTGGTGATAGCGGCTCATAGATGTCCATCATCACTTCGTCCGTGTCCTCCTTTTCGACCATGTAGGCGTCAAGCTTGCCAATGCTGCTGCGATGTCTTTTATGTTGTCGTGGTGTGTCGCTGGTCAACCCGTCGGCATGACCGCTCGTATGGCTGTACCACTGATCCCCATCGTAGTCTTCGACACGGCGTCGCTTCGTAATAGTGTCACCGCATGGCTCCATGTTGATCATGAACAGCGCAGGTGCGAGTAAACAGCTGCGCGCGAAGCATGCACATCCGAGCAAACTACAGCATAAACAGCATCGGATATCCAAAGTCGCGCGCAGCGTATTTTGAGGCAAGTCGTGTCAGCTATGGCGTGATTGCACGTCGCCGAACGTAGGTGGGTGAAATTGTGGCTTGGCTGAGTGGCCCCTCTGTCAGCTCCTTCGAGATAAGGCAATGTACAGGACTAACAAGCGAAATAATCGCCTTTCTAAGTTGTTCGCTTTGATACAACCAAATTCATTGAATGAGGCGCCCGCTCTTATGTTGATGTTATCATAACGTACATTTTTCTATATGGGATGAAATCTGGAATTTATGTCGCAAATTCAACAAAAGTTGGGCCCCGAAATCGGCCAGAGATCATCAACTCGAAAGACTCCGTTATATGATCTGTTGAGCCCTGCATGTTCGCAGCAGTGGTATGGTCGTCTTCACTACAACTACCAAGAAATCGTCTGTGGCATACGGGCGCAAAATTCTCATACACGTCGAGAATCATAGAAAAACTCCAGATAAAGTGTGCCCACATGATAGAAGCGCACGCGACATCCAATCGCCATATCCTTAAACCTGAGGATAGGAAAATTGCAAAAACCACCGGGCTGCAAAATTGAAATACGTCAAAAAAAAAAAAAAAAAAACATCGAATACATTTTCGTAGGCGACAGACTAGCTGTGATCCACTGCCTTCAAGAAAAAAACAAAAGTCTTTTCAAACAATTAACAAAACTCAAATCGAAATAAAAAATGAAGAAACAGCAAAAAGATGCTGCCCCACTGAGGGTCGAACTCAGAGCCTCCAGATGTCAGTCCCTAAGTAGGGATAACAGTCTGACGCGCTAACCAATTGCGCCATAGGGCAATCTTAGTGATTGATTTGTTGTTGAAGGAAACCGCGCTAAAACGTTCTATGATTGCTACGCTTTTGACCCCTTCCAGAGAAAATCTTTGGCTGCGGTGGAGCACCAGTGGAGTCACCTGGAGACCGCGTTTGCGCATTCCATGTTGTATCTGGATTTGGAGTGTGTCGTTCTGCGACGTCGAAAAGATAGGGATATTATTTTATCAAGGTAAGGACACGCAAATCCCATACCGAACAATCCAGTTCAAGCAAGGAACGAGTCCAACTGACAATCGTGTAAAGGTGTGTACATACCTCGTAGGTACATGGCGCATTTGTGTAACCTACATATTACTGCCCCTCCAAAAATTTGACCCCGCCATCGATCTTGGTGCGTACCTGAGAGAGCCGACGTTGACTCAGGACGCCATAAAGATACCACATCGCACCGAACGGGCACATTAACTTCCACTTCACTTGCCATACTATTCCATATACTTCGAAACACATTCCCAATGTCAATCACAATGCTCGAGACGATCCCCCTCGAGCACATCCCCAGCTCGCACACAGTGCACGCGGCGCTGTTCCGCAACGTCGCCAACGCCGAGTTCCTGCAGTCGCAGCTGCTGGGCCGGAACCCGGACTTTGAGTACGCCTTCATCGACGCCACGACCGTGGCCTCGCGGTTCCACCTGCTGTCCGCCGTCTACAAGGCCGTCAGCATAGAGGCCGCGGGCAGCATGAAGACGCCGAACGTGCACTCTGAGATTGTGTGCTCGCTCAGCTCGAATAACAATGTACGTGGTGAAGAATGATTAGTTTGTTCTCATTGGCTATGTTTGCTGCTCGTATTGATTCCATAAACATCATTATGCACTATGTACTGGGGGAGCACCATGCGTGCTTCTTCCACTTCCCATCATTGGAAGTTTGCTAATCACCATGCAGATCTCCGAGGCATACAGGAGGTTTGGTATTCAGCCCTCGACCAAAGACATCGTGGTGGTCAAGGTCCTTATTTCGAAGGATGACAGCCCGCGTGTCTTGATAGCAGAAGACGTCCAAAAACATCTGGCAGAGAACGTCCAGGGCGAAAGTGTGCCGTTTAGCGACGAGGAACTCGCAAAGTCGACAGACTGGCCTAAACTGCGCAAGTATCACAAACTCAACAGCGTCAACTACGTCGAGGGTATCAAGGACGCAGAGGTCAAGAGGAAGGAGCTCGAGTTGCTGGTAGTATCCGCCATGGCTCTTCGGGGGTTGTAGGTCACCACCAGGGGGGAAGGGACTCTCGATTGAGTACAACGGATAGATGATAGATATTGATACCCAATTTTTGCACTCACTTTTTACCTTCTCGCTTTGTGTCCACAGATGGGCCACTCAACCTTGGAACATGTGAGTAAACTTCTCGCGAAGAAAGCTCATGACTTCCGGCGGTGGGCCAAGTTTGGTTCGAAGACAAGTGAGTGCAGCATTACCGCCCTCAATCTTGAGTCCTTCCAGTGCCGTTGCCCGAGAGAGGGCAACGTAGGCCTGTCCATGTTCAAAGACACTCGCCAGATTGACAACGAGGCGCTCCAGAGTCATTCCCTGACTCTTGTGAATCGTGAGAGCCCATCCTGGGGCGAGCGGGATCTGCGTGCGGATGAGCAGGCTATATCGGCCCTCAGCCGCGCTCAGCTGAGATATCGTGCAGTCGGCTTGGACCATGTGACGCACACCAGAGTTGAACTGGACCACCGGCAATACCTGTTGATCAAGTCCTGGGTGCGTCATGAATCTGTTACTCTCGGCCCATCTCCGGCTAGCGCGCCGATAGCCTTCAGGATCGTCACGATAGTTGTCTTCATTGGGAGGGAGCGGAGGAGAGGCCTTCGTGTAATCCTCAAACCCGACAATAACACCTTGGCTACCGTTGCATAGACCTGCCTGGACGTCGACATTCTTGAGAAGAATTACAGGCATGCCGACCTTGAGGGACAAGCAATTGCTGTAGCGATGTTCTGATAATTTATCGAGAGGCCTTCTGTCCTGCGGCGGTCCGCCCCAATAAACAGGCTTGACGGTGCCTTGGAGGTCCTCATGTGCGCAATCAAACTTGTCAATGCACCAGTAGTTGAACTGCTCGGACTTAAGCTTGGCAAACTCCGAATCGTTTCGGTCGTTGACTTCCTTCCTTCTAGAAGATAACCATACCGCATTATCAATGTTGCAGGGATGATTCAAGAGCAGATCGATTTCGGTCTGCGCGAGCTTCTGGCCAAGGCGGCCCTTTTGGAGGACTTTGACAAATGTCTCATCGTTCTGACGATGGATCTTGGTCAGATGAACGTTGGCGAATTTGCAATCTGCCCAAGCCTCACTCTTGAAGGCCCATTTGTCCTGTTCGTGATACGTCATCGGCCGAGGACAGCTGGGACATATGTAGGTGGTATCCCTGCCCAAGACTCGCTTCATCTTCGTGCCACACTCATTGCAGTATTCAAGGCCATTGATGGGCGGCAGCTGACAGAAATCACCGACAGCAATGACCTGGCATCCTCCAAAAGGGTCCAATGTCGCGTGGTTACGGTATTGCTTGATCTCAGTAAAGCCGCGGCTCATCCGGTCAAAATGGAAGCTGCTGACCATGCTGATCTCGTCAATGATGAGCACGTCGGTGCTCTTGAGCCGCTTCGCTGTCTTTTTCTTCCACAGGTTTTCTTTCACCTGCTTAAAAGGCTCCTTGCAGGTGTCCTGCGTCCAGCCCATGAACGTGCAGGTTGTGGCGCCCGAGACTTGGAAGGCGGCAATGCCGGTGGGCGCCACAATGGAGACGTTCTTCCCGTCAGCGCGGAACTTCTTCAGCAGATGGCGGACCACGACACTTTTGCCGCAACCTCCGGAGCCGGTCATGAACACGTTGCGGCCGCTGAGCGCGTAGTCGACGGCCTCTTGCTGCTCTTTGCACAGCGCGGGCTCCGTATCCGCGACGTCGAAATCGATATACCCATTGGCTTCGTCTGCGTTGTGGCCATCAGGGCCTACCGGAGCCCCTTCATCCTGTGGCGCCGAAAGGCCACCTGAAGGTATCGTTTGCTTAGTATCAGCCCTGCCATTCTGTGCATAAACTCGGCCGTCATTATTGTGCTTATGCTGCTCCAGAATGCCTTGTTCCTTCGATGTTGTTCTCATCGGATTTGGTGCCGACAGTCCGCTCCTGGGGAACTGGGCCGCATTGTTGTTTGGTTGATCTTGCTGGTCCTTCGCTTGTTGCTTCTTGATGTCCTGCTCCTGAAGCACATTCGGCAGATTTTGGCGCGCGAAGGTTTTGGCCTCTTCCAAGCTAGGGCAAGTCCTATCTGTACGGGATATTCGTCAGCCTCAAACCCCAAAAGAAGATACTGCACCACGCTGGACTGATCTCGATTCTTCGTGACACTTACAGACGGTCTTGCCATTCCAACCTGCAACGCCCTTTGTTTGTGCCTCGCAGTCAGGCCAATTGGCAAAGATGCCAGGCTCCCGGGCCTTGAGAGCGACGTAGTACTTCTTTGGGTACGGAGGCAGATCCTTGATCCATTCCGCGATCATGGCCTCGACCCTGTCGCTGATTGATAGCTTAGGGGCAGTACCAAGCCCGCCTTGCTTGTGTGCATCGTTCCCATGCTGTCGCCGTTGCCTTGGGCGCCAGTTTGATACGCCGCCAAAGAGATTCTCCTCGTCAGAGTCGCCTAAAGGTATGAAATCGGGAAGAGGTTGCTCGGTCCTCTGCCGCTTAGGCGCCGGCTTGGTGATCTCTTCCTCGTCGCTGTCGAACAACAATATAGGCTGGTCTGCCGACTCGCCGGCGCTCCGCTTGCGACTGGGCCGCGCTAAAGTTATCCGGTCAGATCGGTGTGTACACTTTTATTTACATCCGGGGATGATCAGATCCCGAGTCGTAAGTAAGTAACCCGCGGTCTTTTGTGTAAACTTACAGACGTCGAAGAAGAAGCCGCTGTCCGTCATGATCTCATATCGTCATTTCCGATTGGGTTTGACTAATGGATTGAGGGGTGGCAGCCTGGCTAATCGAGCAGGAGCTAGGTATCCCGCAAACGCGTCTTTGTGTTTAAACGCGGTTGAGTCCACTTTGGCGGGCGCCCACTTTAGCGTCCGAGCTTCATTTTGTCACAGAAGCAACTACAAAATGCGTAGACTTGCTGATACGCGTGTTTACGAAATATTCCAATTTTGCTAATTGAGCACGGTAAGAAAATCAAATCAAATCAAATGTATAGGCGCACTCAGGCATGTTTAGTAGGCCCATTCGCAGATGCAGGTTATCATAACGGGCAATATTCAATGTCCTCCGGCACCTTCATACTGACTTCGTGCTTCATAGCAGCCGCTAATGCTACATGACACGGATTTGCGAAGCCGAAAACAGGTAACCTAGTAAACTCCGTGCAATAGTAGATGTACGACTCTTCTTTTTGACCAAGATAGAGTTCCGAAAGAACAATTGGGTACGGGGACAATGCCTCTTCGGCTTTCGTAGCTCGCAGGCAGATAGATGTGTTGATCAGAGAGATTGCAAAACCGAAGATGAGCCAGGAATCGATCCGCAAAAAAAGTATCAAAGGCGAAGTTACCACTTTACCTGGAGCTCTGCGAAATCGACAAGCCGATACTGACCGACAACATATCAAGATAATCTTCCAAATCCAATAATCATGACTTTCTTTCATCTACTTTTTGTGGTTCCCTTTTTTCTCTTCTCTCATCCCCACCTATCGTTCAGATCTCCGCTCCAGACCCATTGCTCGGCTCGGAGTACCTAAAAGAGTGGATAATATAGAAACACAACCAACTAGCTCGTCCGCGGATAGCCGAGAGAGATGCTATAGTCTTCCGGATTCGGTCTTGTTGTGGATGAGGCGGTGTTTGAGACGACTTGCTCGGGCTTATTGTGTCTTATTGTATTTGGTAACAGTTACGGATATCGAAAAGATCAAGATTGTCTGTGGGGAGTGTTGCTGAGAGCATCTCTT